TCAGAAGGGGCTTGAGGCTTCGACCACGACTTTTCAACTCTAAAGAGTCCCCCTAAAGTTAGACTCCGAGGAGGTTTGGCTGCAGGTAGTATAAACATCACCACTTTGACAAGAAAGGGCTGCTTTCTCTGGACTCCTTTTATACATAGTAGATTTTAGGTCATCCTTAATTTTTTCTGCCTCCCAATAGAGAGGGGGTCGTTGACCTACGTACGGAGCCATTTCATTTTCTTACTCTTGATGACAATGGCCTCGGCGCTTCGAGCCCAGCTCTGCCCCATCCTTTTAGCTGGCAATTCACCACGGGCGCAGGACTGTAAAACCTTTAAGTCTCTGAGTTCCTGGGATTTAAGAAAAAAAAAAAAAATCTGTGCTTCTTTCCTACCAGCAAGCTTCAGAATTCAGAATTCAACCCACAAAAAAGGACATCGGCGCTTTAATCTACGAGCTTTTTGAAGAGATTTTCCCCAAAAAGAAAAGATCCGGTAAAGTTACTCTCCTCACGATAGGTTGCCTGCGTGCCAGCCTCGCCCTGTTTATTACGGGGTCCTCTCCTTGACCCTTTTCTTATCCTGAGGTAATTAAAATGAGAAAAGAATTAGTCGATTCCCATTCTTTCTCTTGTCTAAAGCTGTCCGCATTGAAAAGCGGGGAGGACTTCTTCCTTTGGGAGCGTATTCAGGAAGAGCACGCGGGTTTACTTTTTTGTCCAGGTTGTGTCGATTCCATTCAGTAAAAATAATTTATAAACCGGGGTTGGAAGTGTGAACCAGCTAATATCTTATGGGGAGCGGGGGGGGGAATCATTGAGAAAAAAAAAAAAATCACCAGACAATTCTTTGCTATCGCAGATCCAACAGGTTGACACCTGGGCAGAGTGAAATGAAGTATGGCTTTTCCTGAAGCAGGCAAGGCGTTCCCTCCCTAGTCAGGATGTGAGCAGAGTTAACTGGTCAGTGTCCTCATCCCAACCCGTTAGAGCCTTCCTAGAAAGGTTTACCTGCAGGAGGTGCCAGCTCAGCCACCGGCACTGATACAGAATTCCCACATTCCAGATGAGTGAGTGATTCCTTGTTCAGGCAGAGGGGAAGACAATATGGTCTGTTCAACAGGAAGTTTAAGCATCTTAAGGAACTGAAGAATGGGCTGTCAGACAGGGGCTGCCCCCACTGGGTGATTCAGTGTTTGTAGAAGAACTTCACATTCCTGAGCACTTTCAAGCATCTGACTTCAAACAATCTGCAAACCATGGCGATTCCCATTCTACAGATTAGGAAAGTGAGGATCCGAGAGGACAAGTGCATTGCCAGTAAGGTAGACACAGAGCCGAAACTGCCAGAGCCAGGACCCAGAGCCAAGTGTTGTCACTGAGGCCCCTGTGCTCTGAGGACTGTGCTGAAGGAGCGTCTCTTCCTTGTAAATCTACATTTTCTTTAAAAAAAAAAAACTGTTTATAATCAGGAAGTATCCCCCGTGGTGCAGCGGTTAAGAGCTCAGCTACTAACCAAAAGGTCGGCAGCTCGAATCCACCAGCCGCTCCTTGGAAACCCTATGGGGGCCGTTCTACTCTGTCCTATAGGGTCGCTATGAGTCGGGATCGACGGGACAGCAGCAGGTATCTCTAACAACTTACCTTTCAAACATGCTCTGTTACAGGTTTATCCCCTTATCTGCCCCTAGGTGGCGTCTTGACCAGATTTCCCATCTTCCTGGTCAACTTGTTAAGTCTCATTTTAATACTCAAGACTCACTTTCAGGAATCAAAAAGTCCAGTTGAGGTCAAATCAAAACTTTACCTTCTGGCAAAAGGCTTGATCAGACACTTCCAAAAGATGTACAAATGGCCAATAAGCACATGAAAAGGCTCTTAACAACGTTAGTCATTGGGGAAATGCAAACTGATACAATAGAATATTATTTCACACTCAGTAGAATGGTAAACTCAAAAAGGCTGACAACATCAAATGTTGGTGAGAATATGGAGCAACTGAAATTCTCTCTCAGACATTGTTGTTGGCAGTGTAAAATGGTGTAATCACTTTGGAACACCAGCAGTTTCTTAGAAAGTTAAATATACACCTACCCTACGACCCAGCAATTCTACTTCTAGGTATTTACCCAAGAGAAATGAAAACATACCCCCACAAAAATACTTGTACAAGAAGGTTCATAGCAGCTTTACTGATAATGGCCAAAAAACACCTACTGCCATTGAGTTTTGAAAACCCTGGTGGCATAGTGGTTAAGAGTTATGGCTGCTAACCAAAAGGCTGGCAGTTCAAATCCACCAGGAGCTCCTTGGAAACTCTATGGGGCAGTTCTACTCTGTCCTATAGGGTCACCGTGCGTCGGAATCGACTCGACAGCAACGGGTTTGATTTTTTTGTTTTGCCATTGAGTTGATTCCGACTTATAGCAACCCTATAGGACAGAGTAGCACTGCCCCATAGGGTTTCCAAGGCTGTAAATCTTTACGGAAGCAGACTGCCACATCTTTCTCCCTCAGAGTGGCTGGTAGCTTCAAAGCCCTGACCTTTCAGTTAGCAGCAGAGTGCTTAGCCACTGCGCCACCAGGGCTCCTTCTGGACAAAAAAAAAAAAAAAGATGCCAGCCGAAAAATATACCCATTGCCATCAAGTGGATTCCAACTCATAACAACCCTATAGGACAGAGTACACCCGCCCCATAGGGTTTCCAAGGCTGTAGTCTTTACAGAAGCAGATTGCCACATCTTTCCCCCTTGGAGCGGCTGGTAGGTTTGAACCGCCAACCTTTTGGCTAGTAGCCAAGTGCTTAATGACTGCGCCACCAGGGCTTCTGGCCAAAAAATACCAAAAAAAAAATACCTAACCCCTTGTCATTGAGTTGCTTCCGACTCATAGCAACCTATAGAACAGAGGAGAGCTGCCCCATGGGCTTTCCAGGGAGTGCCTGGTGGATTTGAACTGCCAACCTTTTGGTTAGCAGCCATAGCTCTTAACCACTATGCCACCAGAGCCCTCCAAATGCCCATCATAGGAGAATGAATAAACAAACTGCAGCATATCTATACCATTGACTATAACTCTGCAATAAAAAAAGAATGAATAACTCATATGTGTGACAACATGGATGAATGTCAAAAGCATTATGTTGAGCGAAAAGAAGCCAGACACAAAAAAGCAGAAAGTTCGAGAAAAGACAGAACTAAACCATAGTGAGAGAAATCACAACAGTGTTGCCTGTGGGGGTGATGACGGACCGGGAGGGAACAAACAGGGGAGACGGAAATGTCCACACCTTGACTGTGGTGTTGCTTACACAGATGTCCTTATTAGTCAGCATTTATTCTAGCGGACTCTTAAGAGCTGTGCCTTTCTCTGTATGGAAATGTTACTTCACTTTTAAAATACATGCTGTTGTTGTCATTACTAGTTGCTGTCACCCGCACCCGTTGCCGTCGAGTCGATTCTGACGCACAGTGACCCTATAGGACAGAGTAGAACTGCCCCAGAGGGTTTCCAAGGATCAGCTCGTAAATTCAAACTGCTGACCTTTTGGTTAGCAGCCAGACGCTTAACCACTGCACCACCAGGGCACCGTTGCTGTCAAATGGGCTCCAACTCATGGCACATGAATTGTTGCCCAGTCGTGCGCCATCTTCAGGATTGTTAGTATATAGTCCATTTTTTGCCGCTATTGTGCAGTGCCTTTCAACCTAGGAGGCTCGTCTTCCAGGACTATGTCCGACAATATTCTGTTGTGATCCATAAGGTTTTCACTGGCTACTTTTTGCCAGGCATTTTTTTGCTAGTCTGTCTTAGTCTGGAAAGGAACCCTGCTTGGCGCAGTGGTTAAAAGTGCTCGGCTGCGAACCGAACAGTAATTGGTTCAAACCCACCAGCTGCTCTGTGGAAGAAAGATGTGGCAATCTGCTTCCATAAAGATTTACAGCGTTGGAAACCCTATGGGGCAGTTCTACTCTGTCCTATAGGGTCGCTATGAGTCGGAATCAACTCGAGGGCACACAACAACAAGTTAGTCTGGAAGCTCTGCAGAAACCTGTCCACCATGGGTGACCCTGCTGGTATTTCAAATACTAGTGGCACAGCTTCCAGCATCACAGCAACAAGCAAGCCACCACACTATGGCAAACGGACAGATAGGTAGTGGTTGACATACATACGTATATACAAACAAGCATACATACATACATACAACTTCTCTCTCATCTAATTCCAAGCTCTCCCACCTCACCTCCACCCTTGCTCAAGAAAGGAGTCTAGTCTTTCTCTTCACCCTTCCTCCTCCTTCCCCTTCTCCTTCCCCTCTCACGCTGATGTTGGAGGATCTCCATCTTCACCCAGTGTATCAGGACCAGGAAAGGAGAGGAAAGGTCGCTGCCCATCTCTTGTTGAGGAAGGGACTTCACTAGAAGTGAAGCTTCCAGAAAGGGACCATGTGGGGAAAACAGTGGAGCTGACTTCTCAAAGCTTGTTCCCTAAATCATGTCTCAGTTCACCAAGGTGCAGGGTTCTATTTGCAATCCGGGGAGAAAATACCCAAAATATCATTGCCACAACCACTCAACACTTTGGAGAAAGCAAAATGGCAGCCATTGCTCCAAGAGAAATGAAGAAGACAAAAATGGCTTGACCTGTTTCTCTCTTCATCTCCCCCTGCCCTCAAGGATGTGTCCGTTCATAGCAGACACTTCAGTTATAAACACTTAGACTTGATAGCCTTGTAGCTTAGCATCCTGGGAGAAAGGGAGAGAGAAGAAAATGCAGAACCAAAAGTGGTGGATGGCAGGTCCCCAAAGGAGTGCCTCAGCAGAAGGTCCAGGGAAATAAAGTAGAACTGCTCCTCCATCAAACTCTTGGGGCGATGGTGTACCAGTCCTTCATCCGGAGCCAGCTGGGGAATCGAGCCACCAAGGGAAGCTTCTTGCAACGGCTTCATTAGAAAACCAGGCTGCATTTTCTCCCCAGTCTCCTCTCATGCCCCCTGTGCTCCCACAGGCCAGCACGTGCCCTTCTGCCTCCACCCACCCCAGGACCCAGCCTGGCTGCTCCAGCCACCTGTCCTCTGGGGTGAGTCTCCAGCCCATCTGCCACCATGTCTACTCCAAGGAGGCAAGGTAGCATAACCATGTTTCAACAAGACCTATTCACAGCATCCATTCCTCTCACTGGGCGCACTGTTTAGCGTTAAACCCCATCTGTCTGTCTGTCCATCCGTCTGCCGGGATTCCAGTAGCGATCGTGTAAGGGAAATAGTATAGGGCATATTGGGATGTTCCAAGGACTCTGGCAATTTCAGAGATAAAAACCCCCACTCACGAGACAGATGCCTCTCAGTTCTAGCGAAAGTGCTTATAAGCAATGTCTTTTTTCCCCTTGAACAAAAATTTGAGTGATTCTTGAATCTTGAATTTAGTCTTATTTTGGTTTTCTGGTTATGGTGTATCTACGAAGAAAATCTGCTTTATTGTCTTGGTGCTCTACTTTTTTTTTTTTTTTGACATTTTACAATTTTTTTAAAATTTTGTGGCCAAATATACATAACAAAAAGAATTGCCATTTTAACCATTTTTAAATGCACAATCCATCAACATGAATTCCATTCACCATGTCGTGCAACCATCACCACTAGCCATGTCCAAAACGTGTTCACCACCCCAAACAGAAACTCAGGACCCACTAAGCAAGAACCCCTACTCCCTCCCCCACCCAGCCCCTGGTAACTACAATGACCTCTGTCTCTGTGCACTGGCCCATGCTAGACATTCCATCGAAGTTCGCCTTGTTTGTAAACAGTTGCTTATTGTTGTCGTTACATGGCTTTTTCGGTATCATTTCTGGTGGTTGTTCGGTCCTTCTTCTATTATCCAGAGGTAGCAGGGGTCCACACCGCAGGCAGGTCAAAACGGAATCCCGTGGAGAACTACCAAACTAGCTGCCATCGAGTGGACTCTGACTCATGGCGCCCCCACGTGTGTCAGAATAGAACTGGGCTCCACAAGGTTTTCAATGGCTGACTGTTCAGAAGGAGATCACCAGGCCTTTCTTCCAAGGCGGCAGTGAGGATAAAGAGTCATGTGAGAAATACCGAGGAGGTAAAGTGAACAAGCAACCCCATGTGAGTCGGAGTCAAGCTGTGCTCCACAGGGCTCTCAGTGGCCCATCTTTTGGAAGCAGATCGCCAGGCCTCTCCTTCAAGGTGCCTCTGGGTAGACGGGAACCAGCAACCTTTTGGTTAGCAGCTGAGCGTGTTAACTGCACCATTCAGGAAGAATTTGTTGCTGTAGTCATTAGTTGATAATGAAATCTGCCACACAGGGTTGCTGGCAGCACCAGGCGAGAAGCCGATCACCATGCTTCACGGGGCTGCCCCTCCCTCGCCCTGTCCTGCCCTCCATGTCTTGTCAGTGAGTCTGTCCAGCAGTTCTCAAGGAGTACTCAGAGGAGAAGCACGTCTCCCTGCCTACAAAGGCTATTGGTGTACAAAGCACGGGGGCATGTTCTCTAGTCACTGAATGAATGAATGAATCACGTTTAGTAACAACCAATGGAAACTGCCCACCACAGAGCCTGACTCAGAAGACACAACCAATGAGAAGAGGCAGCATGACGGCCAGGGTGGCTGAGAGCTCTGAGCTAAAGCCAGCAGGCAAGGTCTCCACTCGCTCACCTCCTGGCTGTCTGTCCTTGAGCAAGTCACTGGTCTTCTGTTCAGCCTCACGGTCCCCACCTGTAGGGTCCACCTACAATGCAGAGTTTTTGTGAGGACCGAAAAATCGCATTTCCAAAAGGACCAGGTGCTGGGGCTTCCAGCTCAGAAGCGGGAGGTTGTGCATGACCCCGGGGAGGGCTTTATGCTCAGCAGAATGTTCTGGAAGGCTGGCCAGCCTGGGAGAGGAGGAAGGGCAGCCTTGAGCAGGCTCGGGCTGAGAGATGAGGCGTCTCCACGGAGCGTGCGGGATGCTCAGAGGCATGGCAGGTGGGCTTGTAGGAGCGGAGGTAGATGGGTCCAGGGAGGTGAGCCGTGGGAAGTCCAGGCTGAGGAGCACACCTTCTGTACCTGGGAGGGGACTAGGAAGGCGCTGGAGGGTGGGTGGGAGCAGTGTGCGGGGACTGGAGTCTCAGAGGCCTCCTTCCACCTTTAGAACTCAGTTGAAATGAAATGAACTCAGCCGCCCTTGAGGGGCTCCTCTGTGTTAACGCCTGCCTTTGTGCCGTCAGGCCTGTGGTCCCATAACAGCTGTGGCCGCACGCGCTATCACAGATGGAGATGCGGGGTCGGAGGGCGATGTGTTTGTCCAAACTGCTTCTCATCAGACTACACGGTGTCCCCTTAATCCTTCTAAGATATAAGATAGAGTCAAAGTGGTTCTGACATCCTCAGATGGGAATTCTTCCCCTGCTTCCCGACAGTGATGGCTGACAGGGACTCCAGGCCTTCTAGCATTTGCCTGTCTACTGGGATAGCAGGAAGCCTGCTCCAAAACTCCGCCTTGGGGTAAAGGGCTCAGCCAAAGCCAGGTGCCCACGCAGGACTAGCGGAGCGTTCCCATTGACCAGGGACACGGACACATACAAGGCACTGAGTGTGTCTCAAGGATGGGCCTGGTTCTGGGAACAGCTCTAGGAGGCTCCCACAACTGTCTCATCTCTCCTCATCACTGAGTGCCTCGTACCCACCCACGTCTAGGCCATTCTGGACTCGTCCTTCTGTGGGCACTGACGTATATACTTCCCAAGATCACTGCTCGCTGCTCACTCCTGGACACCTCAATGGGAAGTTTGGGAGTATCTGGGGAACTTGGAACGCTAAGCTGGCATTCTTAGAATCCGTGAGCCTGTTACTGTGGCTGGTGAGGGATGGTTTGGTTATTAACAACCTCTGTCGTTCTTATCTTAAACGGTCACTCCAATTTTTTTCAAAAGTTTGGAAATGAAAAAAGGAAGTAAAAGCAACCATCTCCCCATCATCCAGAGGTAAACACGCATTGGTTATCTCAGGAGAGACAGAACTAGAGCCAGAGCTAGAGATGTCATGGGGACATTGGTGGTTCGGTGGTAGAATTCTTACCTTCCACGTGGGAGACCCAGGTTCGCTTCCCGGCCAATGCACCTCATACGCAGCCACCACCCTTCCGTCAGTGGAGGCTTGCATGTTGCTGTGATGCTGAACAGGTTTCAGCAGAGCTTCCAGACTAAGACAGACCAGGAAGAAAGGCCTGGCGATCTACTTTCAAAAATCATCCAGTGAAAATCCTATGGATCACAGTGGTCCAATCCACAACCACTCATGGGGATGACGCAGGACCGGGCAGCATTTCGGTCTGTTGTGCGAGGGGTCGCCTCAAGTCAGGGGCTAACTTGACGGCACCTAACAGCAACAACACAGATAGAGAGCTATAGATGTCTGCTTTTTAAAAAGGATGCAGTACAGTGCTGTTTTGCAGCCTGGTCTTTGCATGTAAGCACCATGAATCTCTTCCACGTCATTAGCGAGGCCTCCACACTGTCGTTTCAATGACTGTCCATGTGCCAGCAGAGAAGCGCCCCAGCCAACATGTTGTATTGTGTTTTTCTCATGCCTGTGGTTCTGCAACCTAAGCCATGGCCCGCTCCAAGAAGGTTCCAGAGTTTAGCAAATTAGAAGATCTTCATTAAAACTGGAAAGGTCGGCTCCAGCTCTCCAGAGGGTGGGTCAGTCCCTTTGTTCTTCCGAAAGGTAGTGGTGTTGTAAGTAGCAGTCTGGCCATTAGCAAGTTATGCTGTGGAAGTGGTAGAGAGGACGGGTTTTATTTCCCAGGGCTGCTTTAAAAAGAGAGAGAGAGAAGAAAATGTTTTGATTGTTTGCAAGCACACACAGGCTCGGTGGCAAAATGAGACGGAACCCTTGATTTCTAACCTCCTGCGGCACTGCTCAAAATTCCTCCAGAGAGGCAAGTAGGAAGCGTATCTGAAGACTCTGACTGTAAAATCTGCATTCTCTCTTGGCTGGTTATTGTCCCAAAGGACAGTTCACATCAAACCCAGCTTGTCCGTAAAGATCTTTCACCCAAGACAGACCACTTCTCAAAACACTGCTGGTTTAGAGGCTCAAGAAATACAAAGAGAATGAAAATACCAGGAGTCCCTGCGTGGAAATAGAAATGGATTTAAGGGCAGCTGCTTCCAGCCCTAAACCCCCAATGGATGATCTTGCTCTGAGCACTGCTTAGGTAAATCATAGCAAAAGCAGCAGCGACAGGAAGAAAAGCTGGAAGATGTTCATAAAGGAGACGCATTTGCCTGATGCATTGGCTTTTAGGGAACACCGTTCGTGAGCTAAGCACTGCTGCAACTGGCATTCAGAATCAGAGAGAAATAAAAGCCCGTTCCTATACCAGGGAGCCAGCTACCCAAGACAGGAGTCAAAGGTGCTCACACACACGTGACATGCAGTGTGACAAACACCGTGTCCCGCACTTACAAACAACGTGGATGACAACAGAGAGGCATGGTCCCTCTGCCTGGTGGCCCTGGTTCGGCTTCCCAGAGGAAGAGGGGAGAAGGACAGGAATGTGTCAGCCATCACGGGAGGCAAGGAGAGGCGGCAGCACACACAGAGGCATGCAGCATGAAATAGCAGCGTGTATTCTAAGAACCACACCTGGTCAGGCAGGATGGAAGCAGCCATCCCTGAAGCATGGATCACTGACGGGGCTGTAGCAGCAGGAGATGAGCCTAGTGAGGTCCCCAGGAGCTGGATCACGAGGCATCCTGTGGCTTTTCTACAGCAAGCAGTGAGAGTCACAGGGTGTTAATAAGCACATGTCATCCGGTTCACACTGGAATACCTCTTTCTGGGAAATATGGAGCTTGTTAGATTAGAAACAGGGACGCATTGTAAACGGTTGGTCAAGAAATGAATTGGGCCTCAACAAGGGACTGTGGCAGTGGGGATGGAGAGAGGAAGCAGATTCAAGAGATAGTAAAGGAACAGAGGCAGCAGGGCTGAGGGGCCAGTGGAGATGGGCAACCAGGGCAAGGAATCAAAGACTTTGGATTTGGGGGGACTGAGAAGCAGATACAGGGAGCAGAACAGGCTTACCGGGAAGGGGCAAGCTCAGATGTGGACATGTGGTGGAGTTTCCAAGTGGGGGCTTTGGATACAAGCATCTGCAACCCCGGGAGAGGTCTAGCTGGACGTAGAGGCCTGCAGAGTCAATACAGACATGGCAATGGAGCATTAATGGGGTCACCCAGAGAACCCCCCGGGGAGCACCAGTGTTATGGCATGGGCATTTAAAGAGTGGAGGAGATTGCACAAGAGCAAAGATCAGAGGGCATCGCATGGAATCCAGGGCAAGAAAAGGTTTTAGGAAGAAGTAGGTACTATTTAAAAGGGAAAAAAAGGAGTTCGAACTGAAAAGTGCCTCTTGGACACGTGGGGTCGCCCTGAGTCAGAGAACACTCAACAGCAACTGGTGTGGGTATTTTTGACACTACTTTAGAAGGTCACCACCAGTGGACCTCAAGTGTCTGACTCCTGGCGACCCCACGTGTGGCAGAGTAGAACTGTGCTCCATAGGGTTTTCAGTGGCTGTGATCTTTCAGAAGCAGATCACCAGGCCTTTCTTCTGAGGCACTTCTGGTGGACTCTGCCAGCCTTTTGGTTAACAGCCTAGCACTTAACCGTTTGCACCCCCAGGGACTCCAAAGTAGCACCAAAACCCAAAACCAAACCCACTGCCGTCCAGTCGATTCCCACTCATAGCAACCCTATAGGACAGAGTAGAACTGCCCCCTAGGGTTTCCAAGGAGTACCTGGCGGATTTGAACTGCTGACCTTTTGGTTAGCAGCCGAACTCATAAGCACTAGCCACCAGGGTTTCCAAAGTACCGCGAAGCACCTACAATTTCATCGTAAGATTTAACCCTGTGTGGATTCGGATGACTTGTTACTGGCCGTGACCACTAGTTAATGACCGGTGGGGCGCTGCTTAGCAAGACCGCTTTCCCCAGTGTGGTCACGATGTCAGATCTCATTTTTCAGCTCTGACTCCTGTGGCCCTTGTATGGGACACATGGGGTCGCCATGAGTCAGAATCGACTGGATGTCGACTAACGACAACAGGTCCCTCTTCTCGGATTCCCCTTGCTATCTTAGACAGCAAACTTGGGTGTTCCAAGGTCTGGTAACGCCAGCCGGAAAGCAGCGGGCTGGGGGAAGGGGCGTGGGCTCAGGGTCCGGGCCTCCCCAGTAACCGCCCTGGCCTCCCCTCAGGTGCGCGCAGGCGCTGCTGGAACATGGGGCCTCGGTGCACCTGGCGGACGGCGCGGGCCGGGACACGCCGCTGCACGTGGCGGCGCAGTGCGGCCTGGATGAGCACGCGCGCCTCTACCTGAGCCGCGGGGCACGCGTGGACGCGCGGAACGG